AGAGAGAGAGAGAGAATGTAGATAAGAGTTGGTGAACTAGAAGGAGATGAATATACATAACTGTCCAAGACCTAGAGAGGAAAAAGAATATACAAATTGATCTGTGAGTAAAGAGAGGGAAGAACATGGATACCCGTCCAGAAACTAGAGAGAGGACAAATACACATTATGGTTCTTGTGCTAGAGAGAAAAGAAGGATGTACACGCTAGTCTTTGAACTGCCATTCGTGATAGTGATGCATTCTGTGGCTTCAAGACTGGCTTCTCGGGAATGATTTCGTGTTGCTTAAGTGTGAAACCTGAGAGCATTACGGAATCTAACACTATGAGAAGTCAAGGCAAAGTAGCAAAAACCCCTCCATAGAAAAGTATGTGGAACATGAGATTCACCAAACACGTGAAAGACTTACAATGTGTGACTTCCATTCAAATTTAGGGCGACCAGTTTTGGCTGACGTAGTATTTGGTTGGCTGCATACATGATGGAATATGGGAATCAAGACAGCAGCATCGAGAGCTGCATATTCTAGCTGCAACAACACAAGTTAATTTCCTTTTGTTATTTGGGAATAAAACCTGAATTTTATTTTGAAAAAAATATATTCAGCTACCCTGTTTTGTTAATTGCACAATGTGATGAATTACTTTTGATATGCTAAGTTCGAAGTCCCAATGACGTAAACGAAAGCACTAATAAAATGTTACTTAAGAAGCTAAATGAACAGAAAAGAATCCAGGCGATTGCATATGCTAATTAGCATAGATCAATCTCTGATGAGAGATAACATCGCTTCTGGCAGACTATAATGTCAGAATATATGGGACATACACATAAATTGAAACAGATAAATTTATAGGAGGAAATAGACAAAAGTCCAATTTCCACAAGAGCGAATATTACATGGAATTGCACATCATCATCCCTTATGATTCGTGTATATAACTGTTTGGATGGGACTTCAATCCCAAATTTAATAATTGAGGATCGGTTTATCTCAACATATCAGCAGTTGGAAAGGCTCACATTGTAGTTAACTGTGGGCATCATATGGGTTTTGGTATTCTCAAGTATATTCTAGCATGTTAGAACATGATGGCATTAAGCCATTGACAATGAAGGACATCATTTGATATGGGTGAGGCCAATAATGAGCAATTTGAATGGAGGCTTGAGCAAACTTATGTTAATCTAGGACACAATTCGTGAACAGAGAAAAGGAGAAAAGCTTTAATCATGCAAAAAAGTAAAAATGTCTAAACAAACCGTGATATCTAATAAATAACAGGATGGCTCTATGGTATAAATGGGAATTCACGGATACCTGATTAGGATGTAAAGGGCGTTGCTCCCAATTGCTGTTCCGCCTAGTCTTGTTCAAACCAGCTCCCAGAATTTTCTAGCTCATTCCCATTACAGTTGATAATTAGTAGATTGTTAAGATTCAAGAGCATAACAAAGAAATGATAATAAAAGGTAATAGTATATAATCTTGCAAAGACAAGTACATAGTAAACTGCTGAGAACGGGTTCCAATGGATTAAGCTTATCACTGTTGCTGTTGATTGCATGGTGATGAAGAGAGTGGAACCACCAGAAAAGTTTATGATCCCAATGGTGGCCTCGTTCTCTCCACATCATCACCCATCAATTTTTTGGAGAGTGGTGATCCCATTGGATTATGATTTTCCACAGTTCATTCGACTGCATTATAATTTGACAAAGAACAAAGAAATAAATATGGTCCATCAATAACAGCATGGAGGATAATCTAATTGAGTATCTCACTATATTAGTGGTACCTTGGTAAGGCCAGACAGACCTCCTCTGGATTCCTTGAACATCTTCTGGACATCTAATAGCATATCATAATGCTGAAAACATTCCAGCTCTTCATAAGAATATGATAACTGGTGCAAATCACATTGCAAATTATATCCTGAATAAAGCAGAAATCCCAGAATCAAACTTATGTTAGTATACAAGCCAGTTGAAAAGAAATCGACAGTTGTGGAACTGAAATCTTTGCTGATAAGCATTCACATATATTCGTTGACAATGGACAAATAATTCATGATACAAATAATAAAAAGAAGAAGTAAAATTCCCTTAAATGAGCAAATTATCCAGCAAATAAATTCCTCTTCATGTAAACTGAATAGGCCAACTAGGACCCACAGAGTTAGCCTCACCGAGAAACCAAATTTGGCACAGCGAAATTGTTCAGATAAGGACTTACCAAGTTTGAGAATTCTATGAGAACATAATATGCGCCTAATGCAACTGTTTAAGGAGTTGGGATCATCCTTCGATAACTTTATTAAGTCAATGATGAAAACTTTCCTTTCTGAAGCAATTTGCAGAATTGATACCTGCATCAAGCAGAAAAATTATAATTTGATGCCTGAAAACATAAAATTCCATGAAAATAACCAGTAAACTTAAGCCTAAGTTGGAATACAGGTCAAAGGATTTGTTCATCTTAGAGAGAGAGAGAGAGAGAGAGAGAGAGATCATGCAAACAAAACACCATGCAACTCACAACTTCCATTTCTTTCCATATACTAGCATACAGTTCTGGCTTTTTTTCATACTCAACATGATATCAATAACGTATTTTATAACTCCCACATCCACTTGCAACACAAATATAAACTATATTTATTTACTTTTATAATCCATAAAAAAATCGTCATGGTAAAAAAGCAGTTACAATGCAATGAGTTGTCTACAGCTTGAGCTACCAAAATCGCAACGACCTTTTTACAGCCTTACCTTGTTTTGTTCCCTTCCTTTCACATAATTAGGCCTCCACTCACAATCAATGCCAACAACTTTGTTTCCCTCAATCTGGCAAGTGGCATCGATCAGCCTTTCAACATTTTCAACCCAAATAACATCTTCTAAATTCAAGTCTGATAGGTGCAAGTAACGAGTTGGGGGTGGACTTGCTTCAGGAACTGTCAAAACAAACAATAATCATATAGCTCAGAAATATTAAAAATGGGAGCCATTAAGCATAATTCCAGTAAGCTTTAGTTGAGTACAAGAGAATATGAGAAGTTTCAATTCGCTCAACAAGGGTATTAAGAAGATCAATATACCATACATGGTGATATTAGACTTCAGCAATACCTAAATAATTATGGAACAAGGGTTATACAAATGTGTTACAGAAAAGACTGATGAAGTATCCAGATTCCAGAATCAAAATATCAATGCATAACTTTGGTGCCGCAAGCATGCAAGAAATTCTTTGCTCCCATAAATTTCTACAAATTTATTGCCAATGAGATACAAGACGCAAGTACATTATTAAACTTTAGCTCTTGCTGTTACAATTAAAAAGTTTAGGAACCTTGGAAATTCAGTAAAATTTCAAATGTGAAGTGTACCTGGATCACGTGAGAAACCTTCAAGGGAGTAGCGAGCACATAGATCAGCAACCTTCTCAGAGTAGCCAGCTTCCAGTGCCAAGTAAACCTGTATTGTGAAGAGCATTTCCAAGTATTTGTTCCAAGGATCACAAATACAATTTAAAACATAAATACTTGATGAAGCAATGATAAGGATCAGACACAGTTTCAAGGAATCCAAAGAAAAAAAGGTACAATGATCGAGCTACCATCCCATAGAAAGCAAATATTGTGTGGACAATAACATATGCATTCTTTGTTTAATTTTCATAGAAATCATCCTGAAGTTTTGAAGAGCTGTAAACTAGAAAGTTCAAGCTGAAAAATAGAGAGAGAAGACAGAATAATCAAATATAAGTAGCATTCAGAATGTTCATCGCACTTGTTAAGCAGAATAGCCAAAATATGCATGTCAGTAATCAAAACGACTACAATTCCCATGTATATTTTTCTTTGATAGAAGTCAACTCACACTGAAAAGTACATGAAGAATCATTTGCATCAAATAATCATACACAAACATTTCTTTCCAATCCAAAAAAATTCAAGAAAAGGAGCAGCAATGCACACATGCAAGTCGTTTTTCTTTCCTTCTGGATATCCACATGGCCTTAGGGACCGTTTGGATCCCTAGAAAAAAATTACCAAGCAATGGCTTTCCAGGGAGATTGCACATTCCACCACTTGGATTGAAAATCTAGTGTGGAAATTTAAATCTGGGGCAAAAATTATTTTCTGCCAGAAATCATTTTCTCTATTTTGAGTCCAAAATAGAGATTATTTCCCCACAAGGTAAAAAAATAGTTTCCCTGTCAGATCCTTACACAGCCGAAACAAAAAATTAAAACGAGCATATAGCTCGTTGGGGGCCGAAACAAAAAAGGGGAATCTCTTTGCCTCTCTCCTTGCTAACCCAACTCCCCTACCCAACTCTCTCTCTCTCTCTCTCTCTCTCTCTCTCTCTCTCACACACACACACACACACACACACACACACACACACACACACACACACACACACACACACACACACACACACACACNNCACACACACACACATACACACACACACACACGCACACGCACACACACACACATATTCTAAAAAATCCCCATATATCTATTTGTCATCTCTCTCTGCCTCTTCCCCTTCATATAATCTCTTTGTACTTCCAGCTTGCTCTAGACATTTCCTTCTCTCTCTATCTCTAGCATGTTTTTCGCTCTAGAGATTCCTTGCATTTAACCCCTTCTCGAGATGGAAATGCATCTTTGAGGATGCATCCAGGAACAGAAAAAAACCCATTTTACAGGAAATGCCTGAAATAGTTTTTTCAGACAATTGTTTTCTAGGGATCCAAATGGGTTCTTTGGTTAATTTAGTTAATGTTTATAATATATCTGGATGCCAAACACTTGTTTTTTAGCATATTTTAGACAATGTCTTGATCAATGATTGACAGATAAATTTCTTCTTTATTACATGTCCTTCCATTTTTGGAAGATAAGCTGTAAAGACAATTAGAAACAGAATTACACTGTTAGAAAGCCTTCAAAGTTTCTGACATAGAGGCCCATCCAAAGCAATGATCAGATGGATCCAAGCAACACAAAACCACCTAGACTTGTCAAGACTCAATTGAGACTGATAGAAAAATAATGAAAACATTAAATCGGTATTGCAAAGATTACAATTCATTTTGCAAGTGCAAACATATTACGTCATGGAAAATACTGGACCTTAGTCTTCACAACTTACATGCTCAATATCAGTTAATCACGATGCTTGCAACATAATTATGTTATGCATTTGGGTTCGAACTTTAAAGCGACACTAGAAGCTAAAGTTTCGATGGCAATAACTAAATGTTGAGGATGATAAAAGTGGGTTGAAAGACCAAAATTAATGATTTGATTGTTGGTTGAAAGACCGAAATTAACGATTTGATTGTTGAAGTGAAATTTTTTACTTTTCCACTTCTGTCACAATTAATTACAATTTCTAATCTCTCCCTTATTTAAATTAAAAAAGGCATGTCTCACAGTCTGACCAGGTATAAAAGAAGCTGTTGATCATTATTAGTCTTGAACTCCGCAACATCCCAACATCCTTTCTCTGCTAGCTTTTTCATTGAACTGCAAAACAATGAAACCCTTTGTTAAACGTTTATTAATTCATAAAGGGACTGATGGCAATACTCAAAGAGGAGAGAAAATCATTTATTTCAGGAGTAAAAGCCAACATTACATTTCTTTATATTGATAATATGCATCTGGAAATTCCTGCTTTAAACAATTTTCCTTAATCATCGTGTACGCATCTTTAAGCATCTTCTTGTCAATATACCATTGAATAAGATAACAAACCATTTGCTTTCCCATGAATGTGGCCCACTTCTCAGCTGCCTTAAATTGACTGTCCTTAATCATTGAATCAAGAAGAGACTGGCTACATATCCGAAGGGAAAAGCGTTCTAAAAGATGAACTGCATTTATATAAGATTGGGATTCTATAAGTTGGAAGATATAATTTTCAACACGTTCCTTTGCTATTCTTGAACAATCCGCATGCACTACAGAGCCACATATGGCTCTTCCAATGTCCTTCAATTTAATGTCAAAATCTTCGAGCAACTTCATAAGAATACGCTCCTCTTGGATAACTAAACCAGCAAGTACATCAAGAAACAAATGTGCGGCCAAAATTTTTGCTTCAGAAGAATCTGCAGATGAATCACGTGAAGAATGCAAACGACAAAAACGTCGAAGAGAAGACAACAACAAGTGACTAAAGCCTTCAGCATAGGCAGGCCCAAATATTGGTAAAACATACAGGCACTGTACAATATAGTTAGAAGGTCCAGCAGGAGGAGCATTATCAAGTGCCTTCACGACTTGTTGCTGGAGAATCCGGAATTTGGCAGTGGCCTTGAAGGTGCCTATGAATCAGTCAATATTCAGTGCTCTTAAAAATTGTCTTGTCGTTATGCAAAACTTAGTCACCATTAAAAAATATATATTTTTAGAATGCACTATTAAAAGAAATTTGGGGATAACCATAAACCCAAGGTACCATGGCAAACTTGGGCAACTGAGGTATAACACACGCTAATGTACGGATATTATAAGGTTTAACACAAATTAAGTTGTCAATGATATACTATGACATAATTAATTCATTAAATCTGTTTTCTTTCTACAAGTAAATAAATTTATTTAATAAAAGGAATCATGAAAAGGTTTGTCGCATGAGCCCTCGACCCCTCTTCCACTAACCCACGCACACGTGCACGCATATATACACTCTTCACCACACACATACAAAAGGCCTACTCATGACATGAGATGAAGTAGCTAGAAAACAAGTAGAGGAGGACTTAACAATCAATTAAACTCGGCTAGTCAAGATACCAAGGAAATCAATAACAGCTCAAGCACAATATTTTGAATTTGTGGCACGCACATGCACACACACCTCCGCCAGTGAACCACCATGAACAAACTAAGAATGTCACCAGTCTCTATCAAAACTGACGCACGTGTGAGTAATAAGAAAACAATTAATATACTCGCTTAAATTTATTTGTGAATTCTAGGGATAGGATTGAATTGTGGACTATATCTACATGTATTTAAATTAGGAAAAAGTTTATATAGAGCCAAGGCTCTAAACAATCAAATTAGAGCCCACCTAAAAAATTTCACCAGAAGAGGCTGTTTTGATCCCCAAATATCCTCAAATTGATCATCTCGACATCAATATGCATGGACATGAGGAAAAAATGGATTTCAAGTTTTGGAAATAGTGCATCTTGTAACGCATTTTTGGATCGTCAGTTTTCAAAATTTTTAAGTTTTCATAGATCTGCTCGATCTACACTACTTTTGAAGCTTTAAATTTCATAATTAAAGATGAAAATATATTTCAAGCCTATCACAAAGATTTCTAGTATTGAAACCACCTTTCTCGACACTATTTGAAGGTGCGCTTTACTTTGATTGTTTAGAGCCTCGGCTCTATACAAACCACACCTTTTAAATTAAGGATGTTCCAGATTTTAATATTAAGGAACACTGTACCAGGTATCACAAATTAAAAGACTACTCCATTTAAGTTGGTTACAATAAATAGCACGATTGGGAAAATTTTCGGCAACATGGGCAGCATTATATTTCTATGTATGCCTGTGTAAATAGTCTCACATTCATTACTCCACAGATTCAGTGTTACTTGAGACTCACTGGCCTATCAAGGTAAGTTAGAAAATATTGACAATATGACAAAGAGGGAAGATCATGCAGCATATAACTCTATCCCAAAATCCAAAACTGCATTTGAATTGAGTTCACACAGTCTACAAACATGTTTCTATAAAACAGAGCTTAGAGAAAATGCCGTAAACCAAAAGTATACAACAGAGAAAGGTTCTAAGAGCTTCACCTCAATCTAGGAATAACACCTACACCAAACCAATGAGAAGCTGGTTGCCTGAGCAACCACTTGCCAGCTCAATATCCAGAAAAGCAACAATGTCACCTAGTAACAATAAAGCAATAAAATGCAAAAAGAAGATAGAGGAGCAAAAGCATCAAGGTCCCCATTCCATAAAGAAGATAGAGGAGCAAAATTCCAGCCACATATAGACATCAATTTGCAATCTAACATATAGACATCAATTTGCAATCTAACATATAGACGTCAATTTGCAATATCACTTCTAAATGATTCAATACGTAGTCATCAATTTGCAATACCACTTCTTAATGATTCCATACGTAGTTCAGTCCTACTATCTAAGCTTCAGTAGAATCCATAATGCAATCTACAGTAGCAAAAGACTATGAATAGGACACTTCTTTTACAGCTAAGATGACTCTGGCCAAGTTCCTTAAAACATTCTGCTTTGAACATGATTGTTGAGTTTTCCCTGACCCTGTTAAAATGTAAACTACTCTATTCACAAAGAACGATAACCAATCAATAGAAGCCCCTAATTCACCATTCCAAAGATCAGCATCCAAAAAAAGAAGAAGTATTACCATGAATATAACATTCCTTTAGCAGGTACACAAATGTTGTTGGCAATGTACGAGATAAATCTGAAAAGCAATGCAAAGTAATGGTTCCAATTTGGGGAAGCTTTTCTTTCTTGTCCCCATTTTCCTCAGAGCAATTTGCTTCCTCCAAACCCATTCTTAGGGGAATAACCTGGGGGAGAAAAGAAAGACTCTTATAAAAACTGTAAAAATTGCTTTTATGTTGTATAGATTAGAGACTGCGGTGCAACAGAAACTTATTTCTCTTATTGATTGCTAAAAAGTAACCCATTCACTCTTGAAACAAGGCAGCCGAGAGGATATAATTTAGTCACCAAACTTCATATTCTTGCGAGGCCAAGAGGCCCAATATATCAGAATTTCTATATTGATTCCCATGAAGTCTAAGCCGAAAACTATCATAACTCAAAAGAGTTATAGGCATGAAATTGAAACTATCACACTAAAATTTATGTTGACATATGAGACAATGTTAGAGCATATTGCTTCAAATAAATTGCACAAGTGAATTACCATAAAACATGGTCAATAATCTATCCTTTATGACAAATATGCTAAACCTCTTAGGAGCAAATGCATTAAGGAACACATATTTCCTTTCATGCAATGGCTTAACCATATAAACTTAAGCAGTCCTAAAACAACAAGTTATGTCAGTATCAAAATGCGGTCCATTGTACAAATAGTTCTCTATTTCTCTCAATGCCATAGGTCTTTGGCATTATAGCTCTCATTGACTTAAGCATACGCATGTCGCTTGTTTTTCCATCCTAATTTCACATTAAAATTTTCCATAAGATCATTACTCCATTTAAATAAAAAAAACCCACTTCACTAAACACTTAAGTAATCTCAAGTGAAACTTCTCAAAAAATCTCAAGTGCACATTATAGAATACATTCTCCATGAATCTTGCTGGTTTTAAACAATAAAATGTACACAACTTGGTCATGCATGCAATATAAGGTCCACATTTTAAAAGGGAGAAAGACGCCATGAATACCAAGATAAAATAGAAATGAACTCAATGCCATGGGGAAAGTAGATGAAAATGACATGAGAAACCAAACCATTGTTCAAATATTGCACAGAGAGAGAGAGAGAGAGAGAGAGAGAGAGAGAGAGAGAGTACGAACGTAGACGTAATTTAAGAACACAGAGATAG